AAAAGCACGAAGGGTGATGCCGTGCTATTGTATTTATATTATTATGCTTTCATGTTATGGTGAGTTCATAGCACGAAGGGTGTTTCCGTGCAAGTGAGGACGAGAGACATGCATTATGTTGTGATATTTCTTTCTTGCAGATACATTCATGTCTTTACCTGGAATTGTTATTGTCGTGTTCATGGTTCTTATGTGATATGTCGTTATTGTTCTGTCTTTATCCTCTATCACCTTTGTTGTCGTACTATCATTCCTTCTATTTGTTTAAACTTGCTAATATCATGCCTATTTCCTGCTGTTATGATTTCATCCATGTCATCTGTTTTGTTGCACTTAAGTGTAGGTCTTCTTCCATACTAGTCGTTCATGTCCCTACTTGCTAACTTATAAAGATCATGTGACCGCTTTCTTATTTGTCATATTTGTCTTCGTGCCTTCACCTTGCTAGTTAGTCGAAGTTACATTCCTTTTTCCTAATCATTGTCATTATCTCTATGCTTTCTGTTCAGTCTGTTACGGATGTTCTGATGTACATTCTCATCCTCCATAGCTATTTGCGTATTTTCCACTCTGTCATTTCTATTATCGGTATTTCTGTCATTTGGTTGGTACTGTTTTACGCATAATTGGTGAGGATGAGATAAATGCACGAAGGGTGTTGTCGTGCCGTTGGATTTGATGTATTGAGTATATTTCTCACATTATAAAATCTTTGATGTAATTGTGGTGATTTATTGGGTTTCGCTCTCTGGAAAGGATTAGGTGAGATATTGATACCTGTTGAATTGTATTTTCTTTTAGTACTCCATTATTGCTTTGTATAATCGTTTCGTGTGCTCTACTCTGTTGTACTGTAGTATAGTTCTATTGTTAGTTTACATTACAGGTTTTATCAATGAGCATCTTTTAACCAAAGCCTCGTCACTACTTCGACGAGGTTAGACAAGATACTTACTCAGTAAATGGGGTCGGTTATACTGATACTACACTTCTATACATTGCGTGCAGATGTTGGCTATTGTTATTGCTGTGCTCGATGGTTGCCGGGATTGAAGATGTACCTGTGTTCCTGTTGTAGCTGCCTCTTATTCATGGTAGCCTTAGATTTATAAAAACTTTGTTTATGTACTTTTCAAACAAAAGATGTATTTACTTCATATCAGCTTATAAATTCTATTCTTAGAAGCTCATGATTTGTACTACGAGTCCTTGGGGATGTATAAGACTCAGATAATTCCTTTGTTTAATTATTTTATTAAGTTAATTGAAAATGAAAAATCATTAATTGGCTTACCTAGCGGGTTAGGTTAGGTGCCATCACGACTAGTGAATTTCGGGTCATGACACTTAGTCTCCAAAATGAGAACTTAAGTTGAAAAGGTTGACCAGATGTTGGCTTATGTGTAAAAGACCCTGGAATGAAATTTTTATGGTTTCAATAGCTCCGTATGATGATTTTGGACTTAGAAGCGTACCCGAAAAATTATTTAGAAGTCCGTAGTTAAATTAAGCTTGAAATGGCTAAAATAAAAATTTAAGTTTGGAAGTTTAACCGGGGATTTGACTTTTTGATATCGGGGCCGGAATCCGATTCTAAAAATTTAAATACCTCGGTGATGTCATTTATGACTTGTGTGCAAAATTTGAGGTCAATCGGACTTGATTTGATAGGTTTAGGCATCGAATGTAGAAGTTAAAAATTCTTAAGTTCATTAAGCTTGAATTGAGGTGTGATTTGTAATTTTAGTATTGTTTTGATGTGATTTGAGGCTTCGACTAAGTTCGTATGATATTTTATGACTAGTTGGTGTATTTGATTGAGGTCCCGGGGGCCTCGGATGAGTTTCGGATGGTTAACGGATCAAATTTGGACTTAGAACAATTGAAACTTGTTGCTGCCTACTGATGCAATCGCACATGCAAAATTTGGCTCGCAGGTGCGAGCTCGCAGAAGCGGATGAAGCGTCGCAGAAGCGCGACCGCAGAAGCGACGCAATGGTCGCAGATGCGGCCTGGGCTAAGGAGGCCTTGGACCGCAAAAGTGGACGCTTCATCGCAGAAGCGAACTCCTTGTCCACAGAAGCGAAGGCCGTCGCAGAAGCGGGAGATTTACCGCAAAAGTGAAACCGCAGATGCGGTTAAAAATTCGGCAGAAGCGGAACCTCTAGTCAGTGTACAAAAACAGAGGGTTCCGAATTTTTGTCATTTTTGGACATTTCCAACACGGTTTGGGGGCGATTTTCAGAGAGAATTTACGGAAAAACTTGAGGTAAGTTACTTGTGATCATTGTTAGTTAATAATATTGGATTATCATTGAGTATTTCGACTAGATTACATGTTTTTGAGGTAAAATTAGAGGATTTGGGCCTAGGGATTTCAAAATAAGAATCTGGGATTTGGAGGTCGAGTTGATGTCGGAATTTGGTAAATTTGGTATGGTTGGACTCGTAGTTGAATAGGCGTTCATATTTTGTAACTTTTGTCGGGTTCCGAGACGTGGGCCCCACGGACGATTTTTGAGTTAAATTTCAGATTTTTATTGAAAAATCTGTATTTTCATATGGAATTAATTCCTATAATTTGTATTGACTGAATCGAATTAATTGTGACTAGATTCAAGCCGATCAGAGTCGGAAAATCGAGGGAAATGCATTCTTATTGACTAATTGAGCTTGGCTTGAGGTAAGTGACTTGTCTAACTTTATGTGTGAAAAATATCCTTAGGATTTGGTATTGTTGTAACAATTTGTGATTATGCAAGCGCCATATACGCAAGGTGACGAGTGTGTACACAGACCGATTATGGAAAAATTCGGTTCTTCCTGATTTGTCTTCTTTTAAAATACATTAACTGAGTTGCCTTAGCATAAGTAATGATCATGTATAGCCTAGTATCACATGTCTACGTACCTTAACTCTTACGTGCAATATGTGCAACATGCTTAACTGAATTACGTGCTTTCCTTGATTTGATTTAAATCTTTAGCTGTGAGATTCTTGCTGTAAATTCATTGTTTCCTTCGGATATCTGTTGTATATTTACTTTTAGAACTACGAGGCAGTTCATCGAGAGATCCCTTATACTATATATTTACTTTTGGGACTACGAGGCAGTTCCTCGGGAGATCCCCCTGTACTGCATATTTACTTTTGAGACTACGAGGTGATACCTCGGGAGCGCCCCTACTATTTACCTCTATTTGTTGTATTGTTCACTTCTCAGTCATTTCGTTATATTATTATATCCTCTGTCTTACTTTTCTATTATTTCCAGTAGGGTCTGACCTGACCTCGTCACTACTCTACTGATGTTAGGCTTGGCAGTTACTGGTACCGTAATGGTGTACTCATACTATGCTTCTGCACATCTTTTTATGCAGATCCAGGTATTTCTTACCAGCCCAGATATCAGTGAGCTACCTGTGTGTGGAGATTTCAAGGTACATCTGCCAGCGTACGTAGACCTTGTCGTCCCCCATCTATCCTTATCATGTTGTTTTCCTTATTTTAGCAGACTCTGATGTATAGAGACATTAGTATTCCTCTTAGAAGCTTGTGACTTGTTTTTATCGAGTTTTAGGAAATTGTAGTTCTTTGACTTGCAGTTTTCATTTATTATAACTAGTGAGCTACATATGTCAAACTAGCTTATAGCAAGCCTTCGCAATTGGCACATAAATATTCTTGTCCTTTGGATATCATTTTAAAGAGAAAAAAAGCTATGTTTATATTATGGCTCCATCTTGTGCATATATTGGCAGATTTATTATTTTAGTACTCTTATTAAGTAACTCAAGCCGAGAGTCTTTCGGAAATGGCCTCTCTGTCCCTCGGGGTAGGGGTAAGGTTTGCGTATACACTACCCTCCCCATACCTCACTAGTGAGATTTTACTAGGTCGTTGTTGTTATAATAAGTAACCCGTGTTAAGTACATGATATTAAATATGAAGTATTAGGCTGCCTTTCACTCTTCATCTTGTTCATAGTTTACAAAATAGAAGAAATTTTATCGAAGCCTATCATTCTCATCAGTTAGCTATTTTCAGCAATTACTATTTGTTATTTTTTTAAGGTTTTTTTTCTTTCCTATATACTATATGAAACTTTATTACTAAAATTGTCCCAATTTTAAAAATTACCCGCCCTAAATAAGATTTGCTTACAATTTATATACAATTCATTATTAGTGCATAAATTAGGGGGATTAAATTACACCGTTTTTCTTTTTTATCTCATTTTTTCTTTTTCTATTTTCTGGCGCCTCTCTCCATGTACTATCCATTATTAGTGCCTTAAAATAAGGGATTTAATTATATTATTTTCTAGTTTTCTCTCCTCTCCTCTTTCTATAAGCATAAAAGGTTAACAAAAATAAAACGTTGCCATATATACAAATACAAGAGAGATTGAAAACCTCTAGGTTTTGAATAGCAGATTCATTCTTGGCCAATTTACTTGATTCGCCCAACAAATCACTTTAAATCCTCCAGCATAGAGATGACAAGAGGGGGAGGTATAAAGGGATGAGGAAATGATTGATTTTCCTTATTCAATTTATAATATAAAATGATACTCATTTAAAACTCACTTGTATATAATTGGTAAATTGTATATGATCATGTAATTAAGTTAAAACTTGATTAGGAAGGATAATAAAATTTCATATGTAGTATGAGAAGGTAAATTTTTTTTTTTAATATTTAAAATAATTGAGGGTATATTAGTGAACTTATCAGTTAATCTAATACATTATAAAATGTAGGGTAACAATGATCGTGACATACATACACGGCCATTAAATAAATTATTAACAAAGAGAAATAAAACATTTTGGTGGGGTGAGAGAGGCTCGAACTCTCGACCTCAGGATAACTCAAGAAGCTATGAGACCTACGCGCTAGCCAACTGCGCCACCACCCCTGTTGTATTTGAGAATCTTTTATTTCTTATATATGTGATTTCCCTTTTTCTGGAGAAGTCAAAAAGCCGGAATACTGTGTCCAAAAACGCCATTGTTCTAGCTCTTCTTACAAACACAGTCTAGTTAGGGTTTTCAGATCTTTCTCTCTTTCATCACCAAAACCCAATTTCAGGTACATCTTTTTTATCCTTTTTTTATACCATTCTTGTTTTTTTACCTGTTTTTTCAAAGTATTATCCTCTTGTTTACCTCAGTTTTGTGCTCATTTTATTTGTTTTCCTTCCTTTAATTCAATCTGACCCTTTTTCACCTCATAAAAGAAAAAGGAAAAAAAGAGAGAAAAAGATTGAAAACAGAGAAGACAAAAAATGCAATCTTTTTCTCTTTTTTTTTTTAACTGTAAAAAAATTGCAAACTTTCACTTACCCAAATAATGAACTGAGAGTTTCTTTAGTTATTTGGGTTTTATATGCTATGCATGTGAAAATCAGTCTCCTTTTTTTCAGCTTATGTCGCCTTTCTTTAATTTCAATTTGCATTCACCCTTTAAAAGAAAATAAGTGAGGAAAAAAGATAAAAATGCAATCTTTTTTCTTTTTTCACTGTAAAGGTGCAGACTTTAATGAATACTGAGCTGAGTTTGTTTAGTTATTTGGGTTGGATATGCTATGCATGTGAAAAAAAAATTATCCTTTTTTTTGAGGGGATTAAAAATTGGATCTTGATTAAAAATGCTCTACGATTCTAATCAAGGGTCTTAATTGTACTTTATGTTTAACAGCTTGTACCTTGTATTTCCCATTATGTGTGATATAGTTTGCTCATTTAGGTTATTATTACATGCTTTTAGCACTCCTACAAATTTCATTATTTGCTCACCAATTTAATTTAATTTTTTTTATATTCACTTACTTTATTTGCCAAATCTAGCAGTTGACTTAACATTTTGCGTAAGTTGAACTTACTACTCTTATTTATTGTGATAATAAACTGAAAGAAATAATGACATGTGCATATAATGCTTCTGATATGGTAATCAGTATCAGCATGCGATATTTTCAAAAATTAGTGGACTAAATGTATAAAGAATGTATAATTCTCACAGTTGTCTGCTCCTTTCACTTTGCTGTCTAGTGTCAAATTGGAAAAAGTTATGCTAATTTATGCTAGTATAAGATAGTACAATTTACTGGATAACAAATTGTCCTAATTACTGAAATTAGGATAAAGAATGAGTAACTAGTTCGAAGGGGAGCCTTGGAGCAACGTTAAAGTTGTCTGCGTGTGACCTATAGGTCACAGGTTCAAGCCGTAGAATCAGCCACTGATGCTTGCATTAGGGTAGGCTGCCTACATCATACCCTCTCGGGGTGCAGCCCTTCACCGGACCCTGCGGGAACGCGGGATGCTTCGTGCACCAGGCTGCCCTTTTTACTAAGGGTCTATCGGAAACAATGTCTCTACCTTCATAAGGTAGGGGTAAGGTCTGCGTACACACTATCCTCCCCAGACCCCACTTGTGGGATTACACTGGTTTTTTTGTTGTTGTTGTAATAAGTAACTAGTTATTGTAAAGGAAAAATGTTATTTTGCAGCAAAGACATATAATTCCTTTCCACTCAACCCCAGCATTTGGATAACTGGACAGGAAGTAGTTAGAAGTTTTGGAGAAGTTAGCATCAAGTTGTCAAGCAGCAATTAATCAAGCTCTGTGTTTTCATACTTTATAAGTGTAGAAAATTCTAGGTCCTTAATGTGCTGCACGAGTTTCTTTACTCTTTGAGTTTCTCTTGTTAGGTAGTCCGCTTCATGCTTTTCCTTCTTCAAAGATTGGCTGTTTTAATTGCGCAGATGCTCTGTGGTGCTTTCAACTAGAAAATTTGCTGCTGAAAGATAAGTAGTTGAAGAAAATTGAGTTCATTAGCGAGTATCATGTTTGATTTGTGAGGTCATAGAATATCTTTAGTATCAGTGGCTTGGTCTTTGTTAGGTGTTGGTTGCTGAGGTGTTTCTCCTTCGTCCTCCATGTTAGGTCATAGAATGTCATAAGCTGTAGCATTGTTATGATTTGTTTTTGTTTTGTCTTGAATAAAATATCTAGGAAATAAAGAACAATGTTTATGGTAATGATGGAATTTTTTTTTTTTTTTTTCAATTTCAATATGAGATGAATCATGAGCGTGCTGATTATCCTAATATTACTGTGGGAAAGCGTTTGATTACGTTTTATGAGTAACATCATGGGAGTAAACTACAAGAATGTACAACTCGCGCAAGTCCTTATTAGCCTTAGAGATGAAGTGTTTTTCCGTCATCTATTATTTTATTTGGTCTTTCCTGAATATGAAAATTTAAGAGAGATGCTTGTCAAATCATCTAGACAAATGCTTAAGCATCTCAAAAGAAACTGCAATTGATATAAACTTGGCAGTCAGGAAGCAGCAACTTCTGTGAAATGGGAAATTTTGAAGACTTTTTTTTAAAACTATGATAGGCAACTGTATCTTGTTTGGTGGTGAATTTGGATTTTTGAATCATTACATTTGGATGTTTTTAATAATTGAGCTTCCATGTCTAATTCAATGTGTCAACATTTAGTTATTATCAGTATTTGTGATGGTTGAAATTTTATGTACAGGACGTATCTGATGTATATTAGTTCTCTGTAGACGCTGCTTGAATGTTGAATTGCACACTACGTTAACATTGGCCTCATTGCTGCATTACACAGGAGGTTATTATTTTGTAATATTTTGCCAATTGGGTTCTTTTACTGGGACGTTCTCTTTAGCCGTCATTTAAGTATGTTTTGCAAGATGAACGGCTTAATCAATATGGATGTGTGCCTGGGGAATTGATAATTTTCAGTTGATTATAAACAAGATTTATTCTTTTGAGGGGATATATCCAGGTTTTCTATCGTTTTATGCTAAATATCAATAATTAAGGTGCGGTAGGAAGCATTGGTGTGTGGCAGAAGTATAGCTGTTTACCCCGCAGAAGCTATGAGCTATAGTGACTGAAGGTGCTTTTGTTCAGCTTCTTTTGACGCTCTCGAGATTCAGCCATTCAGGGAAGTTCTGATGAGGCTCTGTTTTCCTTAACATATTATATGACACTCTGATCTATGGTGTCACGTTTATGGCATTAAGTTCTCAGAAATGATTGCCAAATACAGGCTTTTTGTGCAGACCCTGAACCCCTAAAGACTTGTACTCTTCTCAGAGTAGATTTTCAGGTTTTCCATCTTTCCTGAGTTAGATTGACGTCACCATAAGCATTTGATGTTTGATTCACTTTCCGAGCTAATGGTTAAAACATCATATTTTGGAACTGCCCCATGAGGTGGTTCCTTGGAATAAGCAACTATTTGTTTGTGTGGAGGTTACTGCAGATTTTGCTAAAGTCAAGAAGATTCTTGTTCTTGTCTCTTGTTAGTTTGAACCGATTATTGCACTTCAAGTATGGATGTTCCCGTGAAGAAGCCTCAGGATAATGGGCAGAAAACCTCAATCAATGATGACGTTCTGGCTCGGAGGCTAAAAAACCGAGAGCGTCAACGCAGATATAGAGAAAGGAAACGTCTTAAAGCTGATACAATGAGGGTGTTGGGCTCAAACCAATTAGCTTCAGTGCCAGTGGAGGTGCCTGTGATTGCTGCTCCTCAGTATAGTGTACTGCCGGTGAATGTTACTCCTCTCGATTCTTCAATGCCAGTGAATGTTGCTTCGCTGGACTCTTCAGTGCCAGTAAATGTCGCTCCCCGGGAATATGTAATGCCAATGAATGTTGCTCCTCTGGACTCTTCAGTGCCAGTAAATGTCGCTCCCCGGGAATATGTAATGCCAGTGAATGTTACTCCTCTGGACTCTTCAGTGCCAGTCAATGTCGCTCCCCGGGAATATGTAATGCCAGTGAATGTTGCTACTGGAAAATGTGTGATGCCAGTGAGCAGTGCTTCCCGGGAGTCTGTCACCCGTGTTTACTCTGGGCGGAAATGGAAATGTGATGCCCGAAAGGCCCATGCAATGAGGCAGAAAGAAGTTAGTTCTAATGGTTCGGTTACACCAGATTTAGCATCAACTGGTGGAAGTCAAATAGCATCTTTACCCCAGGTTGAACCGTCAAATATGGCATTGAGTAATGTTATTTCTTCACCGGTGACTGCACTGGAAAATAGTGGTACACCCAAATCTATTCCCAGTAGGAGACACTGGAAAACGGAAGCTAGAAATAAGAAGAGCTGAAATTGTTGACAAAGTTAGGTTGAGCACACGTCGCATAATATTATCAATTGTTTACAGCCTTGTTGTAATCTCATCATGTACAACATTGGAAGGACCGAGGAACTGCAGATAATATTGTGAGTGTTTTCCACTCTTTCTTTCCCCCTTTAAATTTTTTTGTAATCGTTTTAAGGAAAAAGGTCAAAAATACTTCTCTAATGGAGAAAATCTTAGTTTTACCCCCCTATATTTCTGGGCCATTCATACTCTTGCTAGCAAAGCGTCTCGTATTTGCCCTTGACCGTAATGGAGCTCCAGCCTAAAGTATAACGGAGGATATTCTTAAACCATATTCAAAACTAGAAGGGTAAATCTGGACCTTTGTCCCGAAGTTTTTTTATACTTGGAATCCACTCAATCTACGTTGGAGCTCCGTTAATGTCAAGGACAAGTACGAAACGATTAGCTTACGATAAGGGTATGAATGGCCCCAAACTATAACAGAGGGTAAATTTAAGTTATTTTCTTTAGTAGATGGGTAAATTTGAACCTTTTGTCATCCTTTCTTTTTTTTTGGGGTTTGTGGGGGTGTGTGGGNTGCATTTCTATATGTTGAGGCTCTTCATGTTTGTTGTTTATTTCCATGCACTCTCTAACTGATGCAATGCATGCTATTGCAGTTATCGGATGAACGACTTGTAGGGGTCTAAGCTTTTGTCTCTGTTCAACTAAGTGAGAAGATCCTGAGCAGTGCTTTCGGACAATTTTGTTGCTCAGGTCCTGGTTTTGTCAGGTAAGAAGTTATGTCGAGAGTAACTTTACGATACAATTCTGCTGCTAGAACTTAGGTTGCTTCGACTTACTTCCTTCCGATGAAACAAATCTTGATATGTATCATGACACTCTGACATGTACTTTTGTACATATCTGTTGTATGTGGATTGATCATTCCTAGTCCAACTTGTCACTAAAGAAACTATCCTTCAATATTTGTTGCTTTCTTTGATGGTTCAAAGCGCCATCACGCGGATAATTGAAATGTCTCATCTGCTGTTGAATTCAAATTCTAGGAACGCCTCTTCAAAGATTTGGATAATTACACAATGGCATAGTTATTGAGTTTGAAGTTTTATATGGTTCAGTGTTTGCTTAGGGGAGTATTTATTGATTATGCTTACACAAAGGCATTGGCATTGTGTCCAATGGCACATGATATGCTAATGTCTGTTAGGAGATACTAATTTGGATTGTCAATGATCTCTCAATATCTACAGAGCTCAGTTGCTCGGACTTGGGTGCAGGTATACAATTCGGGTACGGATCCGAGAGTCGGATTCAACAAAATCTTAATTTTAAGTTTCGGGGGTGCGGATCCAAGTATGGATACGAGCGTTGGGATTCGGCTAAGAAAATTCAAAATTATAAAAATAGAGCTGTAAAGATATTCTAAATTTTGAGTGATAATTTTGCCATGTATATTGTAGCAGCGAATATGAGACAAAAGGACTATAATGCTGAAGGTATGCCATTTTCCATATCTTAAATATGTTTTATCTTTTATTTTGAGAAATCAAAATCTCAATTTCCCCTCATATTTGTCCATTGACTTCGGTCAAAGTATCCGAAGTTGGTTGATCGAATCCCAAATGTATCTCACACCCGCATCCGTCCCAGTGTCGTGTTGAGCAAGTTTGGCATAAAAAATGAAGAGTCTGTGCAACTTAGCTATAGAGAGAAATTAACCTAACGAGTTGGTCACCCAACCGCTTAAACTGAAAATAGCAGGCTGAATGTATAATATGTATATAATCGCGTATAATCAATGTATAATTTATGTAGCTATTTGTGTAAAGATTCTATCTATAAATTCCCATGATTCTAATTTAATTGGTAGGTTTATTATATGTACTTAATAACGATAGTATACCTCAATTATTCTACCGGTTTCTTGTTATTTCCCATCATCACAGAGGTGTCTGAATAACTTTGTCTAACCAAGGTTTAAACAGATAAGAAAGAATTCTATTATCTTTTTCTGTCTGCTTTGGCCTACTTTATCCCAGTACAAGATGAATTAACTACACTTCTGAAAATTTGGATTTGGAAGATTGGGTTTTAAATCATTTTCCAAGAAGAAAAAAACGATCTTCCAAAATTAGCGCAAGGTCTCAGGCTCAAGTCCTAGTGGAGATAAAAATATTAGTTTGTTATTTTTATTCATTTGTCTAAGCTTTGGTGGACAGAGTTACTCAGCACCTGTGCAGGTGGAAGATAGCAGATACCTGATAAAATTAGCTGAGGTACGTACAAGCTGGCTGGTCCGGATACTATCATTTCCCAAGATTAAGATAAAAGATATCCAAACAAATTGCTAGTAAATGATATGAAGAGACTAAAATAAGGTTCTCCTAACCATCAAAGGTTGTGGTGGAGTGGTTACTACTCATTCATCCTTAACCAAAGGTCTCGAGTTCGAGTCCTGGGTACAGAGTCGCCTTTATTAAGGAACGCTTTACCCTTAATGTGGGACTTTTTGGCGCGAATTCGGATTTAGTTTGGGCCCAAATGCGGATACCGCATACCGGATGGGAAGTTCTCCTATTTCACCACCTAGGATCTAACAGATTTGCAAACAATATCTGCATTGATCTTTGTAAATATACAAACAACGAAATGCAGAGAGAAGATCAAAGCATAACATATATATTTATAATATAAGATTATTACATAGTTTCATCAGGTACATTTACATGATCATTTTTTACATACTATCAACCCTTAATAACATATTAATCAACGCTTAATTATCTGCCTCAAATCCTCAAAACTCCATTCCCTTCTCATCCCAGAGCTCCTCACCAATTTCGGCGTATCGGTCAAGAACTCCATTGGACCACTGTTATGAATCCTATGAGAACCTTTTTTCGCCTTATTTTCCTTTCCCAGAAGCGATTGACCCCTCGTTTTCTCAAACCTAGGCTTTGGTACCAAGTTTCCTGACCAGTTTCTCTCAATCTTCCCCGAAAAAAGGCGAAAATTCGACTTTCCTTGGCTATTTTGATGAACATTATTGAATCTTTCCCTTAGTTCATCTTCTGAATCTGTTCTTTTTAGAACTTGGCATGTCAAGCAATTGAGAGTCATTGTTGTATAAAAGAAGAAGAAGAAGAAGAAAAGAAGAAGAATAAAAGGTTTATAAGGTAATGAATAATGCATAGGATATGTGTTATTTCATATGTACTAAATATGTTTTAGGAGGTTGAGTTGAGGCCTTGAGGGTAAGGGTTGGTTTTTTGGAATTTTGTTTTCTCTCATTTTATTGGAGATGTTAAGGTCTTGTGTTAATAATGGCCATTCTTTTTTGTTTTCATTTCCTCCCACAAGATTTGTACCCTAAAATAAAGCTCAATCAATCTTTAGGTAGTGGATATTATTACAATGTCTAACACAAAGGAAAACATTATTATTACTATTAATCTTTTCTTTGTAACCGAGAAATCCTCTAGAGTCATTAATGCCGATTTCAAAATTCGATAAATAATTAGCTCGTCTTTCTATCCTTATCCACTTAGATATCATACTTGGAACAAGGCTGAAAATCGTAACGTGTGTCTAATTCACGTATGATCACCTGCTACGCTCTTACCAATTAGTTGCCATCTTTAATAGGTTAGTTAAATTATTAAAATTTCCAAAAAGCCAAAATCATAAAGTTCAACTTTCAATTATGATTGTTAAAGAGACCTTTAGAAAACTAATAAAGAACATAGAAATAGTCTTAGCTGTATGATGGACCTAACTCATGATATTTTATGTTTAAATTTGTTTTTACAAAAGCCAATCCACCTACCCTACCCTACACTGACCCCAACCCTCTCATTCACGAAATTAATAAATGTAATTTTGTTATTAAATACTATCCATAATAAGTTACTTTTGTTTTTAGCACACCTCTTAAGAAAATACAAATTCTTAGAAAAAAAAAATATTTTGACTGAATTACTCTTAATTAAATTAGCATATTATTAACCTGACATATTGAGATTTGTAAATAAGGGCTACGTTTGCAAAAATAAAGTTAATTCCTTCTTGATTATGTAAAATGTCACTTATTTTTTATCAAAATAAAAAAGTAAAAAAGTCACTTATTATGGACATACGAAATATGTTATTTATATACATATAGATTTGCTTAAAGAGACAAAATAAATATTAAGTTAGTATACAAAAAGAAAATGTGAACACAAAAAGGGACCCAATACAATGGCGTCTGAACACAATAATAAAAGACTAGAATATAAAATCAACTTCACATGTAAAACGTGATCATTATTGTTATTATTATTGTTATTATTATTATTATTATTATTATTATATTAACAATTTATTTTTGGTGGTCAAGTCTATTCTCCGAACAAATTATATCAGGGTCAATTAATTCGCTTTAGATTCCAAGGTGGTTCTTATCCACACACACAAAAAAAATCTTTCTTTTCTATTACAAACATTCTAAGGAACCAATATTTTTATGAAAGGGATTCGAAATATTTAAAAGTAAAAATACGAACATATCAAAAGGATACAACTGTTATTTGCGCATAAAAATAATAATTTTGATCTTATATATAAAGTGTTAACTTTCGGATGAATCCCTTTTTGCCACTAGAGGCAGATGTGGTGTGCTAATGATGGGGTCAATTGAATCATAACTTTTGATACAGAGTAAAAATTAATGTAAAAATATGTTAAAATTATAAAAATAATAAATACAAATTCATAACTTATAAAATATAATGAGTTCAATACTAAAACCTTACTAAACTAGAGAGCGTTGCGTAGAAAATTTTACAGATGTTCAGTTTTTGTCTCTATCCTTTCTCTGCCACTCCCATTAATTTCAATTAATTTCTTTTTTAATGATATATGGACCATCCACATATGTAGATTTTGTAGGTTGGAATTAAAATTTGGGATCTTTACTCAAATAACCGGTTATATTCATTGTTTACTTTTTTTAGTCATATACATAAATTATATTTTAATTATATATAATTATACACATATAATACATAAATTATACATATATTATATATTCACCGGTTATTTTTAATTTAAGTGGTTGGATTGGCGACTATTTGGGTTAATTCTTTTTAAAATTTGGGCTTTTTTTACTTTTAACCCGCGCAAGAAACTATTTATACTTGGTAGCCAAAAAAGTGTATAAAATTTATATAATTTTTGTATATAACATACAAAATGTATATATATATATATAAAATATTTTTTTGACTATTATTTTGAGAGCCGCCGTGCAATGTCCTTTTCACTTAAAATTTCGGATTATAAATCTTGGATGTACCTAAGTTTACGCTCGAAGAGTTGGAGTGACAATTTAAAGAATCATGGTTAAATCGCAACTAATTCTTCTCATCTGATTAAATTTTGATAATCAAAGTTATGTGATACTTACAATTGAAAAGTCGCGAATACATGTAAATTAATTAAGATGCACACAAATTGAATCGATGATATCGTCTTTATCCGAGAAAGAAATATCTGGGTCATATGAGTTGTTAAAAATTGCACGCGGCGCTTATTTGGTCACACTCATTTAATCTATACCAACTTTTTAAAAAAATTTTAATTTGTACCCGCTTTTTAAACAACTTCAGGCATATTTCTCCTCATCATTCTCCGCCTTCATTTTCCTCCTCTTCTGCTTCTTCTTCTCCTTCTCCTTCTCCTTCTCCTTCTCCTCCTTCTTCTTCTTCTTCTTCTTCTTCTTCGGGTGACAATGATTTTATATGATGGTTGTCAATATATTTTAATGTAGTTTATGATATTTTACAATGGTGAGCTGTTATAATGCTTTATTTTTTGCTATTGCTTAGTGTTTCTTCTTCTTTTTCGTAATTGCAAAATGAGTTCATTAGATTTATTGTTGTTTTGATAAATTGATGATTGGGGTTTGATCCTGATGATATTTGGAGGTTATGTTTCAAATTTTAGCTCATTTGGAGTAGATTTAGGTATTAAATCGTAAATTGGATTGTTATAATTCGAAGAACAAATTTCTGTTTCTGGGCAATTTGCACTTCATGCCTATTTGGCCTTAAGTGCATAAAAATGTGG